CAGGAACGACCTTACACCTACATTGTTCTTAGATTCCATCAACCTTAACAAAAACGTGGTGAGAGGGAAAGAAAGGCCAAGTCCTCACTGAGAAACACGGTCATGGATTCACCAACTGCCATGCTGGAGGAAGCAGCCACACTCCCACCACCCACCCAGGACCATCTGTGCTGGGGAACTGGAAACTCATCCATTTGACACCACGTTCACCGTAGTACGTGACACGAGCCGCTGGGCTGGGACAACCTGAACCACCACAGGGGCAGTACCCTCACCATCCTTCCGGAGGCAGCGGATCTGTGCAGAGGCAACATCCAGCTGGTGAGGAGCACAGCTGGATCCGAAAGCAGATCCCCATCTGCATCAAGTCCTGCATGCCTGCCAGCTGCAAACACTGCCAAGGGCAATCGAGTGTTTGATGCCCGATTCTCCTTTTGTTGCCACCTGGACAAGAACACACGTAACTTTGCTACCCAGCCTGCTGGATGGATCACTACACATTTACTCTCTGGAATTATCAGTGGATATTATGGACAAACACGGTATTTTTGGCGTGTCGCCAAGACACGTTGTCTTCTTACAACTCCTGAACTCCATCCTTGCTTCTTACTCCTAAGAAACATCCCTTGAGTCCAAAAAGCACTGGGGTCCAGCCTCACCTTGCAGGAAAAGGCGACGAGCAGCCCTTACCCCGAACGCAGCGTAGGATACAGCCCTTTACGCGAGAACATCCAGCAAGCACAAAGATTAGAACCTAAGGAGAAAGATTTCTTGGGATCGAAGACAATCAGTTACTCCTTTCTAAAACCAAAGTTCATCCCATTAAAAAAGGTGACTGGATTTAATAAATAGTCATTTCTGAAATTATAAATAAGAATTAATTTAAAATAAGCTACTATTTGAATAAATACGTTTCAGTAAGTGCTTAAACACATACATGCTTTTTTTTTTTAAATTTTTCTCTTCAAGTTAGCTCATGTTTTAAAGAAGCGAGTTCTATAACACTGCCATAAAATTTTGTGCCTTCAGGAAATAAAATATTGCTTTTCTTAGCCCTTTATAATTTGGTTCCGTTCCCATCCACTTCGGTGAGATGGGTCAGATCTACTCATTATTGCTTGTAAACCTGAGGAAAAAGGAACAACAGTCTATCTTTAAGGAAGATGTTGCTCGCTGGAGGCAGGTTCTCTGCCTGCGCTCGCGAGAAAAACAGTTCGACTTTTGCGTCTCAGTGGGATAAAAAAA